CATCATCGTAACCAGGAGACTCCTTATTGGGGAGACTGCGTATGTATCTGGTTACAGTACGGGATGAAATCGTCAGCAGAAGCTGGTAACCTGCTCATTCAGAGCATCTGCTTATATTAGAGATAATACGGTATGTATTTTAAAAGCCTTGTTTGGTAGATATCATAACACAGTACAGTACAGTGTCATCCGCCTTTGCAACATGCATGCATGCTGTCAACCGATCATGACGTCATCCGCTTTGCAACATGCTGTCCACCGATCATGACTCGTACTTGTACTGCAGTTTTGTTTTCGGACCTTCAGACACACACACACACACACACACACGCGCGCGCGCGCGCACACGCACACACACACACACACACACACACGCACACACACACACGGACAGGACGACAGGTAGCCATGCAGAAGACGCCGTCTTCAGACTTTCAGTAGATCTACACGACTGTACGTCATGTCCGTGTAGACAGTCTTCAGTACTACAGTACAGGTGCTGGCAACTGAAATCCGACCCCCTGAGCGGTGGGTTCACATTCCAGCGGTCTCTGTTTCGTAGTTTTACCATCCCGTGTTGGGTCTTTGCGATGTCAGCGCACCGCTCAGGGGTCGGATTTCAGTTGGCAGCATGCACTCTACATTGTAAAGTACGTGTGGTGGGCACAACTGTGCGTACAAATGCACCTGCTTGGACTACCATCGGCTTAGCTACAAAGTACAAGTGACGACAAACTCTTGCATGTCGGTCTTTGCCAGCCATTTGGCCACATGGCCCAGGTAGACAAAGGTATAACTGTATTTTGAGTGTGTGACCCATACGCATGCATCTCAAAGAGCTAATGCTGGAACTTGCCTCCTGGTCGGATACTGAGATGACCCTGAGCCATACGTGACGCTAAAACCATCTATGATCTAGCAATTATTCCTCCGTGAAAAATGTAGCAGTTACATGACGGTGCACTCGTACAGACGGTGCAGCCCCAGTACCGCATCGCTTTCTCATCTTCATCCTGCTCGGCCATTTCCCCATGAGGATGGCGAGGGTTGCGGCTGCGTATTTTCCTTGGCAATCATGTTGTTCCGTCGGAAGACAGTATGGAGCATTGTCAGTTTTGCGGCCGGTGCATGCACTGCAATGTACCACTGTTTCTCTGCACTGCTGTTAGAGCTAGCTAATAGTAGACCAGCGCAGGTAGTAGTGCACGGCTGTTGTGTGCTGTGGGTGTACATACTGAGTCTATACCAAGTACATACACGCTGGCCTGGTTGGAAGGGGACGAAGCGACGCAGTACAAGACGCAATGGAGGCCCCAATTCCAAGGGCGAACAGGTGAGAGCCTAGCGCTAACAGAGTTTCACGTGACAAAAATCTAGTCGGACGATGCGTTTCATTCCGGTTTTGAACCCAGTCCTACTCAGGCTACTGGTGCTACACTACGCTGGTATTGCGGTACTGGTACCATGGTTCTGGGCCATACTATTTCCTGCTGCAAACTTCTTATGAGTAGGCTGTGTCTTCAGTTTAAAATTGGCTCCTGCCGGACAAGCTCGTCTGGACAACCTATCACACACTCCGATCCGTGACTACCATGCCTACCAGTCCTGTACTACATCGATAGCAGAAAGGAGGCTTGCCGGGGCATGATTGATGGTCGGTCAGGCCTTTCCAAATGCCACCAGTCGCCACACCAGTCACCACTCTCTTGTAGTAGAGAGTGACTGGCGACTGGCACGTCTTAGCTGTTCCCAACCAACTAACTTGCACTTGGACAAGTTGGATACTAAGACCTAAGGCTAAGCCCCCTTTTCCGCTATTGAAGTGACAAGGACCTGGCGTTGACAGAGTGATCCGCCCACTGATGTATTGTCCGTCAACTATCCAGTTCAGCAAGTACATGACATGCACAAGCACAAGCAGGATCAAGTAATAAATTTTAATGTGAAAAGAAAAATCATATCACCAGAAAGCGCTGAATACAAACTAAGAAAAGAGCATATGCATTGTATAGGGTGGAATACTGTATCTTTTGTACATCATCTCTCTTTTTTCGAACTCATTTATCACACTTTCTCTTTTCCCAACTCCAATGTTCATTGTGTACACAAATAGCAGATCCCCCGATAGGCGTCAGCCTTTCAAGTTTGGGTAATCCTGAAATAAAGATTATTAAATCACAATACAGTGTATAAGTAGAGTGCAAAGAGCTCTCTTGATTAGACTGGTGGTTTTGACTGGCGAACACCTCAACGCCACTCCAGGTCCACGGACGGCAAGCGGAAATGCACATGCTTGTGCAGAGAAACTGATGTACGTTTTTTAAGAGGCCTCCGCTGGGGCTAAAGTAAATACACCGATTGAGGAGGATATCGTGGGACGCTGCGTGGACAGTCGCTGCAGTATGCATGTACAGGTATGTCGTTTCCACACACTATGCTTCCTATGGGGCACACCACGCCTGAATTGATTACGTAGTGTCGCAAAGCTATAGCTATGCATGCGTGGGTACTTGTAGCACACCGGTACGCAGTGCCATACAATAGAGAGGTTAAGGTGCACGTTATCTCTGACGTGACGCGAAACCTCCAAGTGACCTTTCGATTGCAGACTGTCCAGTGTCCAACCATCTGGACAGTCCAGATTTGCGAGAAATTGTCCTGCGTCCTGCCGAGGTCCTTATCCGGACACCTTTTGTCCAGACTTCATGAAAAATCGACACTGTTGTCCCACTTTTCACGTCTTGACTCCGACAACAGATCACGATTGATCACACGGAAAGGATGGCTGATGCGTGCACTCTTCGGACACCGAGCTCGCGAGCTCATGTTCATGCGACTTGCTACCCAGTAGTAGTCTCTACCCGGAGCACATTATTTTTGTTCACTGCCGTGGCAGCTTTAAGCCCACCTGTATCACGTCGGGTGCATTCAGATCTTTTCAGTTATAGGAAGAAAAGAAAAGTTTGACCGGCTATTGAGGGTGTCCAGATTTGGGGTGGCCAGGAGGCTGGACAGGCTGTGATTGTGTAGGTCTTTCACAAGTTCTGATAGGCAGTCGTTGATACATACAGTTAAAGTGAGATACGAGGATTACAGCTGGAATCAGAGAGAAGAGGATAGACAGTACTGAGCAATGGTGGGTGCAAGTGGCGGTCATTATGACCTGCGTGGAATACTGATCCTTCCTCGTGTACATTGTATTCCTGCCTGCATCCTGGCACGCAAGTCTATTATTTTAACAAGATTACATAATCACTCCCTTAGTATTGACTCCCATAGATGTTTGCCTTACCTAAGCAGTCAAATATTCCTTCATATTTCACTCCTTATGGCTGTATTGACTGCTTATAATTATTTGACTGCTTACGGGTTCGGCAGACGAGTGCCTAGTGCAGCATGGTCACTGTATGAGTAGGCGATGGTGCAACGGTTGTGCAATCATAAAACCAGGATTCATGAGGTCATCGTTCTGGAATTTGAAATACGGACTGTTAGTGTTAGTCGTGATACCATGGATACTGATAAACGTAATATTGACTTCGTACTCGGTCAGTATAGGAAATAAAATTTATATAAAACCTCGTAAAAGACCTCGGCTTCGCCTCGGTCTTTTACTCGGCTTTTTATTTCCTGTAATTGACCTCGTACTCAGTCAATATTAGATATATAATCATTGTACTTGAATTGTTGATAAAGCACTCTTTTGTCGCTCACAAAAGTTTTGTGAGCGACCCAATCATCTGGCGCGCGCATATCATGCATGCCCCTGGATCCCCTGGCGCATATCATGTATGCCCCAGGATCCCCTGGCGCATATCATGTACATGTATGCCCCTGGATCCCCTGTACTGTACTGATTTTTGCTTGCTAGGTACTAGGTGCTAGGTACTAGGTGCTAGGTACTACACACAGGTACTACTACTAGGTCTACGACGACGTGTCGACATGTCCTAGCCGCACTGTAGATCTACTGTAGTACTAATCTGGTGGTGGATCTACCAAGGTCTACCTTTAACTCTGGGCCTTGAAAAACTACAATCATTCAATGTCATCACAATAATTATTATTGTATTGTATTTTTGTATTGATATAATTATTTGAATTCGGTATCTCAACAGTACAATTATGTACAACTAACCAATGTTACTTGGGAAGATCCGAATGACATAGATACATAAACATAAAAGTGGAGTAGGTGCTACAGCTGATCATAATAATTAAATTATTATCACTGTGCAATTATGTACAATCATGTACAAGTCATGTAGCCTCATAGACCTACATGACATGTAGCTACCTGCCTCGGTCCGCGTGCAACCAGTGTTTAGTTACCTAGCGCATATAGCCTGGCCTGGACAGACTACCATGGACTGTACAGACTCAGACTGACTGTACAATCATGTACAGTCGAATCCGTCGTGCGTCAGCGACACAAACACTCAGTTGACACTACGCTGACAGTGTGCCGCACGCGCAGCTGCCCGTTCACACGGTTCAGGCGTAGACAGGCGCAAGCGAACAGTGACCAGATCAGAGTGTCCACACAGTGACAGTACACATTAGACAGATGCTGATCTTTTGCGCCACATGTTTGTGTCTGTGTTGACAATAATGACGTCGTCTTCACTAGATCAGATCTGCAGTGCAGAGTCAGCCAAACGCTGAACAGAGACTGAGCATGAGGGAGTCTACAATGGATTGGTAGTTCTACTTGTAGACAGTCATACACTACCTATACATCATGACTGATGTAGCCTTGTACTTGTAGGTCTACAACAAAAAAACAATGGTACTGCCTGGTAGACCACGCATGAATCAAAACACAGTTGCATTTTTTGGGGTTGAAAAAAAGAAGGTTCTGCAACTACACTCGTCGTACTCCCCAGGCCCAGCTGGCGTAGGCCCTGCTCAATGCACAGCAACACGTACAGTAATCATGGTAATTATTTCGCAATTCCTTCTACTGCTTTGATGTGTTTTTTTTTCTTTCGATCAAATAGTCGGACACAGGTACCAAGCTCCTCGACCCCGCTGCAGAGCTAACATTAGATTTAGAGGACGTCCACAGACTCGGAGACTCTGGCATTGTTACCGCTGCGGCCAGTGAAACTGCTCTGCAGGATCAAGCTTCGTGGTTGAAGCGGGTAACTAGGCGATCTCTCGGACTGGTAACGTCCGCTTTGCAAACCGCTATGGCCGATCTTGCGTACGTGGACAGCGCAGATGAAACGGGGCACAGCGCGTCCGATACGGACTCTGAGGAAGATCATACCGGGATGGCTAAAGACGAGGTGGACACTGGCTTCCTCCACGATGCCTCAAGCTGGTTGTCAAGCACGAAAGACGTGATTGCGAACTATTCCCGCTCCGTAAGTCGATGGATTAGTGTGCATTTCTTGAGTTATTATTATTATTATCATTTGAGGGATTCCCCAAAGGCCGAGTGTGGTGATGTGCGGGAATGCAAGTCCACGGCGCGAACATTATTATTATTGCCAGGTCACAGGCGCTAGGCCTGGGCCTGGGGTCACGGAGCTTTTCACACTCTCTGCATGTCGTAACAATATGCAGGGGCTGAGGCTGGACAAAATGGTATACGGATCAGTGTAACACTGCTGGTTGGATAACTCCGTGGCACTAACCAACATAATAGGATAATTCCGTGGCACTAACCAACATATTCCTTCTGGTTGCGAAATGTGAGAGGTGGAAACATGTCTCCACACGCATTCCCTCATTGGTGTGGAAGTTACTTGTACAAGGCATCTTGACATCACACATCTCATGCTCAAGTACTGAACCACTTCAAAGTACTACAAAAGTACAATGTAGTCCTTTGCGCAGTGATGTGGGCAGTGATGTGGGCAGTGAATGCTGCACAGGGTCAGGGGTGTAGCTGCCCTGCTGTGCGTGGCTGCACATGTGTAGGATGGCTGCTGCATGTCATTCATGGTCATGTGCATGCTGAGCCTAGCCTAGGTCAAATATTTTAGGGGGGGGGGGCATGCTGGCTACTTGCCTACTGCATGCATTGGGGCCCTGGCCAGTATTGGGTAGGGTTGGTGTGGGGGAGGGGGGGGGGGGGCGTACATGTCCCATGAGGGTTTGTTTGTTTTCTTAAAATCGTTTCTCCTATCGCAAAAGCGATTACACCATTGGAAAGCTTGGAGCTTCCTCTTTGATCTACATATTTGGATATTTGCAACAGGACTAAAATCGATGAAGTTACGACAGTTTTACGGTACGCACATAATATCAGTCATTAATGACTGATGCACCGCAAAGGGTTAAGTGCGGTTACTACTCACTCACTATACTGGAGGCGATCCTAGATTCTCTCATACATTGCACACACGCACGCACGCACTTACGCACACACACCCACACCCACACACACACACATACACACGCGCACGCACACACGCACGCACACGTTGGTAGAGGCTGGGCAGTATGCCTGCCCAAGTGCATGGCCTCATTGGCGCTGTAGACTGGCCCACCCTGTTGACGCTGTTTGCCGACAAGCCGGCTTGTCTCTAGGTCACCATGTCTCAGCTTTCATTTGTATACCTTGAATTTCC